AAATATTAGTAAAATATTAACAAAGGTTGTTGGAATAGTGAAACAATTAGGCAGAAGAGTTGGTGAACTTTGAAAAAAGATGAAGGTTCAAAATCACGTTTAACAAATCTCCACCTTGACTTTGAATATGAAGATCTTCTCTTTACTCTTGCTGTCTCGCCAGAAGCCCCTTATGGGCTTAATCTCCGCTTTGTCGAACTCCAAGCAATTCGAGACAATGCTCGAACTTGCGCGAAGGTACGGGCTTCGTCATCATATCTGCTGGATTATCTGCAGTACCAATCTTCTCAATCCTGATGACTTTAATTTCTCTGATGAAATGATACCTGACATCTATATGTTTGGTTCTTTCATGATACATCTGATGCTTCGTCAAATGTATAACACTCTGGCTATCACAAAATACCGTAGTAACACCTTGGTGTAAGCCGAGATCTTCAACCAAACCTCTTAACCAAATAGCTTCTTTCACTACTTCTATCACTACCATATACTCTGCCTCTGTTGTAGACAAAGCAACTGTCGACTGTAGAGTCGCCTTTCAACTAAGATACTACCTGAAAGAGTGAATATATAACCTGTCAGGGTTCGTCTCTTATCCAAATCACCCGCATAATCTAAATCAGAATAGCCAAGTATTCTGCAATCTGAGTCTGTGTTCCTACCAAAATACAAACCAAATCACCCATAAAGAGATTTTTTCAACCTGCACACATGATCTTCTTTACCTTCAACAATGAACCCCTCTGGCTGATGCATAAGGATCTGCTCCTCAAGCTCGCCATGTAGAAAAGCCGTCTTCACATCAAGTTGGTCAAGTTCCAAATTAAAATGAGCAACCATGGCAAGCAACACGCAGATTGAGGTGTTTTACAACTGGAGAGAATACTTCATTGAAGTCCACACCTTCGGTCTGACCATAGCCTTTAGCTACCAAGCGTGTCTTGTACCTTACAGAATCTGTATCCGGAGCTCCTTCTTTCTTCTTGAAGACCCATTTACAGCCAACGATCTTCTGTCTCCTTGGTGGCTTCACTAGCTCCCATGTCTGGTTCTTGTGAAGAGACTTCATCTCTTCAGTCATCGCAACAGTCCAATTTGCAGCCTCATTGCCACTAATAGCCTCCTTGAATGTAGAAGGCTCTGGAACCCCAATCGATTCTGCTATACTCAAAGCATAAGCAAGTATGTCTGCATAGCGTTGAGGAGGTCGGATCTGCCGTTTTGTTCTCCCGATGGCAATATTATACTGTTGCTCTTGCGGTGTATCAGCATCTGAAGTTGAACATTCCTCAGTATCAACTGGTTCAACATGAGCGCCCTCAAGCACTCTCTTTGAAGTTGAGCTCTCTAGCTCCACCTGCTTGCTGGACTCCTTTTCAGTACCTGTAGTGTCAATAACAAACTCCTTTCTCGGGTGAAGCATGGATTTTTCATCAAAAGTAACATCCCTACTAATAATAAACTTAGGTGACTTGGGATCATAGCACCACAATCTATATCCCTTCACCCCAGTAGCATATCCTAGAAAGATAGCTTTCTTTGCTCTAGGTTCAAGCTTACCATCATTAACATGAAAATAAGCAGAGCAACCAAATACTCTTAAATGAGAGTAATTAGCAGGAGCACCAGACCATACCTCTTCTGGAGTCTTAAAATCAATTGCTGTAGAAGGAGATCTGTTTATCAAATAGCAAGCTGTATTGACTGCCTCGGCCAAAAAGTCTTTTGACAAACCGGGATTAGAGAGCATGCACCGAGCTCTCTCTAAAAGTGTTCTGTTCATCCTTTCTGCAACTCCATTTTGCTGTGGTGTATGCCGAACTGTACGATGACGCACAATACCTTCATTCTTGCAGAACTGATCAAACTCTGTAGAACAAAACTCCATCCCATTGTCGGTTCTGAGGCGCTTCACTTTCTTTCCTGTTTGCTTCTCAATCATAACCTTCCATTGCTTGAAGGTTACAAACACATCACTCTTATGCTTCAAAGGATACACCCAAACTTTTCTGGAATAATCATCAATCAATGTTAGCAGAAAACGAGCTCCACCTTTCGATGGAACCTGAGAGGGACCCCAAACATCTGAATGGATATAATCTAAAGTACCATTGGTTCTATGGACACCGGTACTAAAGGATACTCTATGATGTTTGCCGAAAACACAATGCTCATAAAAGTCTAATTTCCTGGTTTTCTGACCACAAAGCAGACCTTGTTTGCTCAATATATCCAGTCCTCTCTCACTCATATGCCCTAACCGCATATGCCACAAATGTGTAGTGTCTGAATTTGAATCCTCTGAGGATGACACCGATGTAGCACCTGTCACTGTACTGCCTTCAATGACATAGAGGGTATTTACCTTCTTTCCTTTCATCACAACAAGAGAGCCTTTACTAACTCTCAAAACTCCACCTTCAGCCGAAAACTTAAAACCATTTGAGTCAAGGGTGCCTAAAGAAATGAGGTTCTTCTTTAACTTTGGAATATGATGGACATTGCTCAATGTTCTAACAATACCATCATGGGTTCTAATCTTAATTGAGCCGATACCAACAGTCTTACAAGGCATGTTATTTCCCAACAAGACATTTCCACCATCGATAGACTGATATGTGACAAACCAATTCCTATGCGGACACATATGGTAGGAACAACCCAAATCAAGAACCCACTCATTTTGTGAATGAGTATTAACACTAACTGAAAGAACTTCATGTGAACTAGAAGACTCTTCAGTTACAATGGCAACTGAAGGTTTCACCTCTCCAGACTTCGACTGTGAATTATCCTTTGCTTTGAGCGCTGGACAATTAGGTTTTACATGCCCATATTTATGACAGTAATAACATTCAACATTTCTTCTTGGCCTGGACTTTGATCTAGACATGTTTCTAGATTTGCCTCTACCACCAACACCCTTTTCAGGACAACCACGAGCGAACAAGCCTTCAGCTTGATCCTCTCCTCCTACGACAGACACTTTCTGCCTTAACTCTTTTGAATGTAAGGCTGATTTGACATCCTCCAAAGAAAGTGTATCTCTACCGTATAACATGCTATTGACAAAATTTTCGTAGGAATGAGGTAATGAACATAACAAAATGAGTGCTTGATCTTCTTCATCAATGTTAACATCAATATTCTTTAAATCCATAAGAATAGTGTTAAGTTCATCTAAATGGTCTTTAATTCGCATATCTTCCTTCATGCGAATGGTGAAGAGGCGTTGCTTCAAATAAAACTTGTTCGTCAGAGATTTTGTCATGTACAAGCTCTCCAACTTGAGCCACAAGCCAGCGATGGTATCTTCATCGGCAACCTCCCGCAGGACCTCATCGGCCAAACAGAGCTGTATGGCACTATGCGCCTTCATCTCCAGCTCTTCTTTCTCATCATCGGGCATAGATTCCGACAACTTATCCTTTCCGGACAAGACCTTGAACAGTCCTTGTTGTACTAGGAGAGCCCTCATTTTTACTCTCCACAAACTGAAACTGTTTTTCCCATCGAATTTCTCCACTTTGTACTTCGCAGAAGACATCTTGAAGCCAACTGGAACAGTAACTGTATTTATGAACAATAACCGTATTTGCAAACAGTAACCGCACATATGAATAGTGACCGTATCTATGAATAGTAACAGTACTTTTGAATAGTACCATACACGTGAATAGTACCCAATGCCTTTAAAGAGTAAATGATAATCTAACTTATTTTCTGATGTGGATGATCCACTTTTAGTGGCAGCCACAGAACATACGATAAGCAGATACACGTACTCTAAGCAGGCTCTGATACCGGTTTGTTGCAGCTAAGGGGCTTCACAGACACAGAAGATGTCTATATAAGAGTGGACAAATAGAAAACAGCACACCAGGATTTAACGTGGTTCGGTCAGTATGACCTACGTCCACGGGCAAGAACAACAGAGAACTTCACTAATCACCAAAAGAGAACATTACAAAAGAGGAGACCACTCTCTAACCAGAGACTCTCACAAAGAAAGGAACAAAACCTTTCTATCTCACTCTCTTCTCTCCAACTCTCTTCTTCTCTCTAAATATTTTGCTTCTCTCCCAGTGATGATTTAAACCCTTCTCTCACACCCCTTTATATAGCCTTCAAATATTAGTAAAATATTAACAAAGGTTGTTGGAATAGTGAAACAATTAGGCAGAAGAGTTGGTGAACTTTGAAAAAAGATGAAGGTTCAAAGTCACGTTTAACATAAATATTTAGCAAAAATGATCTATTTTCAAAAAATTTCCTTTAGGCGCCGCACAACTCTTTCTTAGAAAGTTTAAGCAGGAAATAAACGAGGGACCGACCCGCTTTCCAATTCGAATCATACTCTGACCTATTATCAGATTCACGTCTGGATTTTCAATCTTTTTCATTATGACTTTCGAATATTATGATAGAACTTTTGAGAAATATAGAGAGTGCACAAACTTATAAGAGAACGTCTTACTAACTGTAGGCACTAGTAGAAAATCACGTATTCTAGACGGAATATTCTAGACGGAATTTTTTCCGTCTAGAATGCATTAAACTAGACGGAAATTTTCCGTCTAGAATATTCCGTCTAGAATAAAACATTCTAGACGGAATATTCCGTCTAGAATAGTATCCTAGACGGTTACTTTATTTTTTTAATTTTTTTTAAAATAACCAGGTATTCTAGACGGAAATTTCCGTCTAGGATACATGCTAGACGGAAATTTCCGTCTCCAATAAGTGGCCATTTAAAAAAAATTAAACCCATCGAAACCCCCAGCCGCCCTCCTTTCCCCCTAAATCCTCAACTCCAAATTGAAATTTTCAGGAACAATCAGCCTCATCCCCCCAAATCCTCAACTCGAAGCTTCTACTCCTCCCTCCACCGCCACCCCCTCCTCTCCCTCTCCCTCCTCAACCTCACACCCCGACCCAGCTTCTACTCCTCCCTCCACCGCCACCCCCTCCTCTCCCTCTCCCTCCTCAACCTCACACCCCGACCCCTCCCTCCACTGCCTCCCCCTCCTCTCCCTCTCCCTCCTCAACCTCACCGGACCCCTTCCCGAACTCCCAGGAGTCGGCGTCACATGAGCTCCGACAAGTTCCGGCGGTTCCTTCGCTTATCCAATGTCAGCCTTCTCTCTCCTCCACTCTTCTCTCCTCAAACCCTCGTCTATTCTCTACTCCCACTCATTCAAGCTGTTCTCATCCTCTTCTCTCGGCGGAAAACCATCAAAGAAATCAAAGTACCAACAGCCTATAGCCGCCGTGCTCGAAGTAGGCGGCGTCAAGATCGCTAAAGATGGTATTATTTTCTCACTTGCCCGCTTTGAAAAATTGGATTTTGTTATTTGGGTAAGGTTGAAAATTTGATCTTGGATTGTTTTGTGGTGATGGGTTAGATGTGGTGAGGGAGAGCGATCCTACGAACAATGTTCCGGATTCGATTTTCGGGAAGTTGGGGATGCAGCTGCATAGGAGGGAGGATCAACCGCTTGGGATTTTGAAGGATGCGATTTATGGATACTTTGATGCGAATTTTGGGGGAAAGTAACTTTCCATCTGTCATCATCAGAACTTCAAATGAATTATTAATCAACCTGATTTTTAGAAAATATTACATTTTTCTATAAATGTTCTCAAGTTGTAATTGCTAGTTCAATCCTTAAAAATTCATTTGAATTTGATGAACATTACAGATTAAGGCAATCCCCTTTTGTTCAGTTTTTTTTTAGTTTCTTCCATTCATTTACTTTTTTGAGTTTGTTTTTACATAATTATAGTTAGAGTGCATCGAATTCCTTTAGCAGAAAATCATTCACTTTCTATCCAAGTAAAATTTGACAATTCTTCTGTTTTTCCATTTAACTTCAATCCAAAATCATATTCCAATCCCACGTCATGCAGCCATCTTTGTCTGTGTGGTCTATTAACTAATTATGTAGAATTAACTTTAGTTTACAGTTCAACTGATGGTTTCCTTCTTCAATTATTTCAAATAAAATGCTAGATGACTGGACTTTCCTTGATCTTCATATATTAATATCTTCATTAATGACCCTCCTTAACAATTAAGTCTTATTCTATTATGATATATATATATAGTTAAGTCCAATATATTATTTTAGAAGACAACTAATTGATGTTAAACCTTCTAGAGCATCTTTCTATAACTCAAAAGTTCATGCCACGAGACTGAAACTGTGAAACATGATACTCAAGAAGACATTATGAGTTCAAGATGATATATCATGCACAAGTATGCTTTATTGCTACGTATCATGATACTTTTCTAGACAATTTAGTCAATTTATGAAACTTGAGTATCATATCCTTAAGTACAACTCTTATATGCACTGATCTTTACATATTCTTCCAGAATCTGTTACTTTTGATTTGATCACTGCACATTTCATTTATTGTTGAATTGCATCCAAAAAATCTAAACATTTCAGATTTTGGTTCCTCGAGTAAGAAATTATATTTTGCAACATCATGAAGGTCTTGAAACTGTCATCCCTTCCCCACCTCTACATAAATGAGGATGTGAACATTATGCATACATTTATTTTGCTCATAACTTCTTGAGCAATAATCAGCGTGATTCAGCGTGATTTATGTCCTTTTTTCTTTGTCAACATTTCTTTTGTTGCCTCTTCTTATCAAGTTATGAATTTTCCTAGTTTCTTTCATGGACTTCATCCACTGCATTTTTATTATAGTGATGCAAAGCATTACTTTTTGCAGAATTTTGACGATGTATTGGGTTCGCTGCTGTCATGTACGCAGGAGTTATAATGATACGTATTATGTTGATTCCCAACATGTCTTGAGGTGCCATACAAGTGCTCACCAGGCAGAATTATTAAGGAAGGGCCATACTCATTTTCTCGTAACTGGAGATGTCTATCGTAGGGATTCAATTGATTCAACTCACTATCCTGTATTCCATCAGGTTCCACACCAGCTCTAGTTCTTGTAGCTGTCTTTGAATAATTCTGCTTTAGTTTTTGTTCCTGGCATTCTTTCTTTCTTTTTTCTTCTTAAATTTTAATGGTTGTCAAAGTAAATAGATGGAAGGAGTTCGAGTTTTCTCACCAGATGATTGGGTGGGTTCTGGCATAGATGCAACTTATACTTTGGCCTTAGATCTTTAATGTATGTCATGTACAGGTGAGGTGGAAATGCGCTGGGTTGACACTTACTTTCCATTCACTAATCCATCATTTGAATTGGAGATTTATTTTAAGGTTCGTCAGTCCCCCGATCTCTAAACTATTTAGTATGCATACACACACACACATCTTCTTTGTTAAAACTAGATACACAGATGCTCGAATTCTCCTTGGTTTTCTTTGTTTAAACTAGATATATCAGGAACCGAACCATTCGGGTTCCTGATATTTCCTGATATTTCTTGTTTGCTTGTGTCCTTATGTTACACTCAGGGTGATGAGGAAGAAGATGAAGGAGAAGAAGAGGGCTTGAGTAAATGTATAGGGAAGGAGTTGAAAAAGCTTCTGTAGTGTCATAGCCATTGTAATTAATTTATGTTAAAGTTTGTAAACAATTTATGTATCTCTCTACTATTTTGGTGAATGTATTATTTGAATATAATGAGATTTGATATTAGAATATAATTAGATTGGTTGGATATGAATATAATTTTTTGTTGTTCAATATTGTGTACACGCACCAAAATTAGATTCTGCAAAAAAAAAAAAAAAAATTACTGTAGCATAGTATCCTAGACGGAAATTCCGTCTAGGATGCTTAAATTCCGTCTAGAATGCTTTTTAAAAATAAAAAAAATTTAAAAAATCAATTTCCGTCTAGAATGAGTATTCTAGACGGAAATTTCCGTCTAGAATACTCATTCTAGACGGTAATTTTTTCCGTCTAGAATACTTTATTCTAGACGGAAAATCCGTCTAGAATAATCCGTCTAGGATGTATTCTAGACGGTTTTGAATTCCGTCTAGAATATTCCGTCTAGGATGTATTCTAGACGGAATTTCCGTCTAGAATACTACATCCTAGACGGAAACATACTAGACTCGTATTCTAGACGGAATTCCGTCTAGAATACACATCCTAGACGGAATTCTGTGTATCCTAGATGGATTTTTCCGTCTAGGATGCCCAGTTTTTTAGCAGTGAGGTCTTTGTGAGGAGGGAGGGGCGGGATGGGGGTGGGAGGTAGCCCAACTTTTTGGCGCCGAAAAGTCGTGGATGATCCCCATTTTTCACTAAACATACGCTAACTAAACAAGTCAGACGATCCGAAGCAGGAAAGAGGGAACGAATTAACAAGTCGGTGCAATTTGACAAACCTGCCAACAATACAATCCATAAGGCACAAGGAAAGTCAAGCAGCCTTGTCAAAGTCTAGGGTTGACAGGCAATTCCTTTTTATCTTTATTAAGGAACAAGAGGATGCCACTGCTTGTATCTTAAGCCTGCAACTTTCGATGCTAAAATCGATTTTTTTTCTTCCAGTTAAGACATTTTCAAGTGGCCCAGAGGTTGGTTCTTCAAATTATTACGTAACAGGTAGGGATAAGCCTCAAAAGATACAGAATCTTCTAAGTTTGTGTGACTAGATGGACGACTCCAAAATGTACAGAAATTGCAGTATCTGAATGGACCAACTAACTTTGACTGTAAAATTTTGCCAACGAAGCAAAATACCTTATATGGATACATGTGTGTGTGTCTCTCTCTCTCTCTCTCTCTCTCTCTCTATATATATGCGCGCAACGTATGTATGTATGCAAGTATGTGTGTGTACACTCACTGACACACGACACAAGGTGTACAGTACACACACATATAGCATGAGAATTTATACATGCACACAGACACAGGGAATATATTTAAGGAGAATTTAGACCAAATACAGGGCATTTATGGGTTGGATCATCCTTCGACATGATATTTAGATATGAAATTATGAAGAAATTACTAAAAGAAGTAAAGACCGCCCATAAAATTCCTGGTCAGGCCTGGGTTTTTTGTTGGAGTTTCTGATGTCTGAAGGCTAGACATAATTGGCTTCTGATACACCCTTCAGGTTTTCTGATTTCCTTTGAATATGCTCATTGTGAAACTTCCTTACACATTACTGGTTGTGGCCTTGTGATGTACAGAACTGGTCGGTTCATGATAAAGTGGTGTAAAGTATTTTCGTCGCTGGGTTACATGAAAGCATAAACATATTATGCTTATCGAATAAATGGCTCATGTGTGCTATATCCATGTGTGTAGCGTGAATGAGTGAGTGTGTACTTATATGTGCCCAAGAAACAAGCACACATGCTATGTCTATGAATTTGTCTCTTGTATACACATACACATAATACTGGAACTTTTGTGTCCAAATATAGTTCCATGTTACAATGGAATATATTAGCCAGAGACTAATATATAGTTTGGAGCATAATGCAATGCCTCGAGGATTTAAGGGAAGGCCCGTGATAAGAGTAATAGGTTAATTGCGGTTAGTCCCTCTGTAGTATTGCCTAGTTGCAGATATACCCCCTGTACTAATTGTATAGATAGACACCCCCCCCAAAAAAAAAAAGCGTACTATTTGCCCAAGTGTGAACGGACCCCCTCAGTGACTTTTTTTAAAACACTTTTAAAAGTAAAAATTAGTAATTGGGTCTCTCCGCCACAATAGAACTGTTGGGGTTTTATCCGCAATTGGGTGATACTTAAAGGGGCCTATCCACACTTAACCCTAAAGTAAATTTAGGCCAATTTTATTTTCAGGATAAATATAGGAATCCTCAACTCCCGTAAAACGGAAAGGTTATGGCATATGTCATAACAAAAGTAAAGAGGAAGCACCAATGGATAGTCAGTATCCAACTAGAAGTCGCATGCCACTTTAGAACAGTTATATCTGAAGTCATTAGATTTCATTCTTCATAGGCACAAACATATCTAAGGGCATAAAATTAAAAGAAAATCGTGAGTCTACATTTGCTAGATGGAAAACAGCAATATTGCCACATCTTCACGCACATCTTCTAGAGCAATCATGTACACGACATGTAGAAAACAACGGGAGAACAAGAACATAACCATAACAAAAAAAAATAAAAAAAATGAAGCCCATATATAGCTCGTACTAGATGAATTTTACCGCAATCTTCTAATCTTCTTATTGATTAGACTGAGCAAGGTCCGATGCCGATATTGCACCTGACTGATCAACGTCAAGATCCTCAAACTCCTCCATCACAAGAGCAATATCCTCTTGGCTAATCTTCCCCATTTCTTTAAGCTTATATATAATGAATTCAGCAGCACTGCAGAGTAATACAAAACCGTTTATTAGCATTTTGCAAGCAGTGGCATTCGTACGGAATGATCCAAGACGGAATTGAGAGACCTTAAATCAGCTTATGGTGGTGAAAGGAACTTACCCCACGACACCATCTTCATCTAAATCAGCTGCTTCAAGATCAACAAATGTCATCCTTCGAGTAAGAACCCATTTGGCCAGGAGGTGTTGCCTGCGCTCAGTGTATACCTCAGCGAGGTAGAGAAAAAACTGAGCTAAGCAGATACAACTAGTCAATATCCAAAACACCGCAAAAACTCTTCCCCCTTCACTTGAGAAGCTCTTGTCCCCATAACCAAGGGTCGTAATAGTGCAGCAAACACAATAGAAGGCATCCACAAGATCTAGCTTCTCAACCTTACACAAGAAAATAGTCCCAGCAGCTACAAGCAGAACTAAAAACACAGCATTCGTAAGGAATTTGTATCTCACTCTGTTCGCCTCGATTTCTCTAAGCATGCGAGCGTCGCCAGCCTTGTTGCGCACATGTAGGGCTTTAACCAACAATATTTCCTGCTTTTCAACAATGTAATCTGCTGCTTTGCTTAGAAAGAGAGCAACAATTGTCATTCCTGAGAAGACAAATAGGCAAGCCAGCAGCTTTGTTGCGGTGCTCTCGGGCACTAGATCTCCATAGCCAACGGTGGTCATCGTGACAATCACAAAATAAAAGGCGTCCAGCACCGTGTTTGTTTTCTTACCTCTGATCTGATCTCCTATGAGATAAAAGCAACCGGCTCCTAGCGCAAGGTAGATAATTAACAACAGAGTAATATGCCTAAAACTAGGTCTCGTTTTGCTGAAGACGACATCGGCGCCAGGAAATAAGCCTCCTGGGTTTGCTGGGTCCAAGAAAGCATCGACAGAGGGCGCACTTTTACAGCGCCGGAATCTCCTTTTCTTGATGCTGCTCGTCTTGTTTGGCCGATGAGGAGGATCCAATGATCCAGATATCAAGGGCTGCCTCACGGCGTCATCAGCCGTCGACATCTTCTTCTGAAATGATCGATCAATCACATAAAGAGCATGTTAACTGCGTGTGAAAAAGAAAATTCAAGAGCCCTGTAACAATTAGCATTCGGAAATATGGAACACAAAATTTATAGCTATGTGTCCTCCTCAGCATAATATAAAAAAAAATGGGTATTACTTTATAAGAATGTTTATGTTACTTTGAACTGGTGACGACAACATGCTCCCCTCTTAGGTTAAAAATGCTCTTTTTTTTTTTGGATTTCTTGTACCAGATTTATTTTAGTACGCTTTTACATCTAGTTCCCTCTTAGGTTGAAACGCTTCAAAAATTATCGGCTTGAAATCTTAATTACCACAACAAATGCAGCCATATATAGGCCCCATGACCACAAATAAATAAAGGCCGAGTAAAGATGCAGATTAAAAAAATAAAATAAAACATTCGATTGAAAATAAGTGTTCGTTAAGGTGGAGCATCATCCGAAAAAAAAAAAGTTCCCGTGGTTTCCAGGAAGTCGAAGTCAGATTCTAACAGATTCACGCATCAACAGCCATCAATTGTTAAAGAAGCTTGTTTATGAGTTGAAGACCCGATCAAATAGTGGCAGGGTCGTAATATATCCATTAGCCTAGATTGGCATTCAAATTTTTTCCGCTCCGGCGGAGAAGTTGATCTGAAACGCTTGGATCCAAGCCAAGGACTCAGAAACCTGAGGAAAAATTCTACCTAAAATTCTAAGAAGGGAAACTAAGTCGAGAGATTTACCCCCGCCCTTTCCCCTTTCGAAAGGATCGATTGGGTCTATCGCATCAAAACCACGCCGCGCTCTGCTCTGCTTTGCCGATCTCGTTCTGGGATGTTTCCGACGTGCTCGTCATCGTAACAGGGGGGGTTGTGGGATTTGTAGGGAGCGAGCAGTTGGGCGTCTGACGCGACGACGAATAAAACAAATCTTAGTCTTTGACCTTCCGCTTTTTTTGTGTGTAAAATAAATGAGGAGAATAAACAAATTCATAAAAATCAGAAAGTTTGGGTGGGCGTCGAGGAAGAGGGATGTGAAATGTGAACTGGGAGTGGGGCGTCGTCTTACATCTAATAATAATAATAATAATAATAAGTTGAATATTTGTCTCTCATTAAAGATTTGGATCCACAGCCGACAATGAATGAAATAGAGGCTACGCTTCATCAGCTCCTACCTTCTGTTCTTACTTTTTGTTATGATTTGCGTTCGCATCGTTGTCATTCATTTATACATACACTGGAAAAGGTCAAAGGTTTTTTCTCCAATTTTTTAAATGTTCCTGTTGCTCAATAAGAGGTTTGGGCAAACTACAAAAAACTTGGCTACGACCAGTCTGGTTTTCATTTGGACCAGCACCCCCGGTCCAAATGAAAAACAGTTTAATAAGGCCACTATTCGGCCTATATATGAAAACTGGGCAGGTCTGGCCCTGTTGTTGTTTGCCAAAAAAAAATAAAAAAAAAATCTTTCAAAACTGAACCAAGTTTAAACCCGACCCAATTCTGAGAGATTGCCAAACACACCCTTAGAGTTTTACTCAATTTCTCTCCACCGAATCGTACACGTCTATTTGGATTGCTTGTTAAATGTCTGTTAATAAAATGCAATATGTAGTTTCCCTTCATTTCATTCAAAAAACCTTGCATATCGATGTACTATTTTTAAACAAATAAAGGAGGGTTTAATATAATTTCTCTCCCCTCTGTTTGGAGGGTTGTTTCTTGCGCAAGGCAAGTTGGTTTCCTCCTCTCTCTGCTCGTCAACTACGATAATCAACCAACAATATCTCTTCACTAAGCCTTCCGAGCATTGCTCCACCCCATCAATACCTAACTCCCTCTCCACCCTACAACCATTGGATCCCTCCCTTTCTAAAAAAAAAGATCAATTGTATTGCAAGTGATCACCAATCAAGAAGTTAAGAAGTCAGGCATGCGAGAGTCAACGTTAGCAGCATAACACCCAAAAGAAGTAGTCTTGTATAGAGAATATATAGATCACATCTATTTTTGGCGATCTTCGGCACCAAGGAGGACGTAGATATGGTTTTCAAGAATGGCCCTTGGGGTTTCGGGAAAGATTCGGTTTGAACACCATATGTGTTGAAATTATCAAGGCGTGTATATCTACCACTTCAATATCCATCAGCATCAATGGTCACAACAATGGTTTCTTTCTCCCATCTCAGGGTGTTTGCCCAAGGATGTCCACTCTCACCATCTCTCTTTAAATTAGGACCTGAGGTTCTCTCATTACTTGTAAAATCGAAAGTCTCGAATGGTCGATATGTCAGTATGCGAATCAATCAAATGCCCCTACTTTCTCATACTTGATGTTTGCTGATGAGGAAATCAAATTACATGTTTGATCTCCACCGTCTTTGGGCTGGTCAAAAGATAAATGACTCTAAATCAAGTATTTTATTAGGTATTGTTTGGCAAGGGTGTTGTGCGCAGCGGAATCGAAGGACACGAACAAGATGAGAGAAAGAGTACAAATAGGGTTTACAATCACTCAATAATCTCACAAAATAACCCTCAAATAAAACTCTCAGATCCTTCACAAATTCTCCGTTTCTAAGTGCTCAAACAATGCTCAAATCTCAGCTCTTAATCTCTCACATAACCCTAGAAAACGTCATGTTCCTATTTATATCAAATAGGAATACCAAACAGGTCGGGAAAACGAATCTGGGCCCAAACCGCATCGTGGTCGACCGGACATGATGTTTCGGTCGACCAGCCAGAAGGTTAAAATTCCACCATGTAACCCAGCACACCTTCGGTCGACCGCATAGGCATGGTCGGTCGACCGGCCAGACCATGGTTCTAAGACCCTGTTGCGTGCACGAATTCGGTCGACCGGACATGTATGTTCGGTCGACCGGCCAGCGACAGGATATTCACCCTGTAATTTCACAGTCTGTCGGTCGACCGGCCTATGCACTTCGATAGACCGACCCGTGACTAGTCTTGTGCACTCCAAATTTCCCGATCTTCTTCGCCGTTTCTACAAAGGGCTCAAGAGAGGAGGGTTAAGGAGAAGGGTTAACTTAGTTGACCTGCCTCCAAGGATTAAAAATAATCTAAGTCCGTTTAGATTAGATAATTAACGTAAAGGGTTAGCTTTTTTTTTGTTTGGCAAATAAAGAAGGGTTAAATAGGTTAATCCCTCTAATTTTTTTTAAATTCCAACTTTAACCTTATTGAAAGGCGAAACGTTTGCTAAGAATTTGTACATTAAGATCAGTCCATCCAACTTGAAATTCCATTTATCTCAACCACCAAAATATTGGCGTTTCTATATTATTTAGATAAATGATTGTTGAGGAAGATAAAAATAAATTTAACTTAGCAAAATAATTACTTTTGGCTGTTTAGGTATACGATACTAACAATTATTGTAGTAAAAAAGTAAACAATGATTTTATCATTAATGAGGGAAAATGATATATAAATATGAGAGTTGAAACGTGAAACTGAAAATGAAAATTAAATGTTGAAGAGGAATGATGATGTATGTCTATTTTATTTTAGCATAAAATTAAATGTCAAGAGGGATGATGATCTATATCTAAATCATGTTAGCATGAAATTATAAATGTGCTGACTACGACATATGGTTCAATAGACACGCCCATTGAAAGAAAGAGTGGACTGTTGTATGCCACTGCATCACATGAAATTATAACATACTCTGTTTCATTTGGATAAAATTCCAACCCCTTACCTCCGCGTGAAGAGGCGGAACAAATTTGATGTCCCTGGCATTATCAAAAGAGCCGGTCAGTATCAGGCCCCTGTTCCGCAACCTTCTCTGCCTACCTCGAGCGTGATTATTAATCAAAATCCTACACGTATCAGACCGGGAGGCGAAGACATCTCACAATTAATGTGGACGGAGCTTCACGACGCCCTCGATCACTCTGGCGTTTAATCAGACGGGTGCCGGTGAAGGGAAGATTTCTTAAGTCGCAATAGGAGGAGAGTTGGTTAGTCACCTCCCATCATCATCATCATCATCATCATCATCATCGAAGTCGAAGCTCAGGGAATTCTCTGAGGCGATTAGGGGTTTGCCGCGACGCTACCTTCAAAGACTCCAGGACCCACGTATTTAGTGACGCACTAGTGCTCGTCAACTGCATCCTCGTGCCCACAGTCTCTCATATCATATCATACGTGAATACGTTTGGGTCCATCTTTCATATCATATCATACGTGAATGAATGCATTTGGATCCTTCATCAAAATCCAATGGTGTCAATTTCCTACACTCATAGATCCCTCAATTCAATTTCCTACACTCATAGATCCCTCAATACGGCTGCTCACTCTCTATCACCATAACTGCTGCATCATCCGAGCTACGTGGTTATTGGTGCTCTCAAGAACTACCAAACGTATTCAATTCTGCTATTCGTATCGCACTCTATTATCCTGATAGATCATGTAGCTAGGTGTTTTAACTTTTGGTATGATGAAATGGCATACAACTTTATAATTTTTACAGCTTGAAGTTTCTAGAACTTCGTACGTCGGGGTGAAACTATGGCAACTTGGAAACTAGATTTCTGCGGAACCAAAAGCTCTAAAATCCAATACAATTTTATGGCAGAGAATGAACCTGAGTTATAAGATACGCGGAATGTAGTAGCTCACAGATTCAAAGCATCTGCTGAAATGAAAATTAAACTTGAACTCTCAACAGCAATGCAGGTACAAACCTGACGAATAACAAAGATCTCCAGTAAGCTTCACACCCCAGAGAGATTCAGACTATTAACCTATTTCACACATTTAACTCCCCTGGCTGATCACTTTGTATTCCTTATTCAAATTGGTTGCATAGCATAAGGTTACAGGCGCAGACCAAACCAAAAGATATTTTTGCAGGCAAGAACCCTCAGTAACACGCTTCGTTTCCTTTTATATAACACATCTACGACCATTTCAAATTCCAACATCAGATAGAATGACAAATTTCTTGAATTGGAGCGAACTCGACATACTTGCATACATTTTATACATGCTGCTGAATGTGAAACAGCTACAGCCAGAGTTATTGCATCCATCCCTCAACCATCATTTGCAATGTTCGCAAAGAAACAAAACAGCAGACACACTCTTGATTCCACCCGTAGCTCCAACATGCAGAACGTGGCTATTACTGCACAAGGGAATTCAAAACTGATCCAAACTTACGGCCACAAAACAAAAGGATCTCATTTTTCATATGTAAGCCAAGTAATCAAACTTCTCACACTTGTCTCAGGTTCAAACCAAGGCATGCATGGATTTACTCTGTGCCCCTAAAAACAGAAGTATATGACCATTGATATACAGGCGCTTCCTCCAATAAAAATCTGGTATGTATGAGACACCAGGACATGACACGTGCCTACGTATATCTGACGCTCATGAATGCGTCAGCCATTATTCTATTTAAAACTTGTACAAAATAATGTCATTCCTCAGATCATAAAAGTTCAATTTAATAGATTATTCTAATAACTCTTTCGTATATGAATAACGACCCGATACATATACCTATGTATCAAATATGCATATGTTCAGAAGGGGTATGCATAGACAATTGCCTCATCCAACGCCCCTTGCCTGTCAGCGTATCACGTATTGTTAACAAATCATAGGCACTGTTATAAATAGCGGTAAATAGCCCCGCAATAGCGGCCGCTAATAGCGTTAACGGTCCCTTCCCGCGACGCTATCCCCCGCTACGCTATCACACAATAGCGGTGACATATTACGGAATATGTCTGTTCGCAAAAGCGGCCAATAGTGTGTCATAACGGTAAATAGTGAGCGTTTGCATTCGAAATTTGCTTTTTGACTGTTATTTAAAAGCGGTTTGAAGCTTATTTTTTTAAAATTAAACTTAACCCTTGACCATTGCATTCCACCGTCTCCTGTGATTTTCAGCATACTCCCGTCACCTCTCATAACCTCTTGCATCTATCTTGATACTTCCTCTCACCTCCTTCACCATGAGCTCCTCTTAGGACAGTCCTGTCACCGCTAAGCTCTTCTTCTCGAAGACGATGACTTTTTAACTCCTCCAGTCATCTTCGGTATTACGTGATGGTTGCTAAGCTCTTCTTCTCGAAGACGATGACTTTTTAACTCCTCCAGTCATCTTCGGTATTACGTGATGGTTACATGTCTATTTCATGTTTAGACTCCTCCAGTCATCTTCGGTATTACGTGATGGTTACATGTCTATTTCATGTTTAGAATCTCTTTAAATTATTCAATATGTACTTTTAAATTTCTTAGATTTTTTTTTAATTTTTTTTAGTATTTATACATATCTAAATTTGACCGCTATTTGACTTTGCGTTTTTTATCATTATTTTGCCGTAATAGCCCGAAATAGACTTAGTGATGCCTCACCGCTACGCGACGCTATCCGCTATCGATAACCTTGATCATAGGTTAGAACATATAAGCTCAGAACTATAATGGAGTTGGTGCTTAGATTAGACTTTCTCAAAATTCCTCTTAACTCTTAATACCTTTTTTTTTAATAAGGAAGGACGACAACAGTTGCAGCTGCAGTTGCAATTTTTTGTGCATAACAGACAACCCCTATACATTTTCCCCAACTGGAAATGACTTCTATTCCAGACGCTAACCTCGATATGCAAAGAAGGAAATTAAATGGACAAGGAAATTCTAGGAACAAACTATACTTTGCAGTCAAACATGCTCTCCATGTTGAATCTTTGCAGGAATATACTCCTCTGACAAAAAGGACAGTGAAGAGACAGATAGTGCCTCAATCTCGAATTTCACTCCCTTTTGCAGCATGATCTCCAACTCAAACCTGCCACGAGTGACCCGCGAACAGTTAAACAGGCATGCATGTTAAAGAAAATGCTGAACAACACTGAAAACATTGAGCAACACAAACGCAACTATGCTTGATTATATAACAAGAATACAAGACCAGGTTGCGGAATGACGAAGATTAGGTGCTGTATATGAGATTTCTTCTCTAGTCAGGTTTCTGTCATCTTCTCTATTTTACAGGAGATGCAACTATAAGGTTTTCACTATTTTTCTTCTCTATTTTATAGGAGATGCAACTATAAGGTTTTCACTATTTTTCTTCTTTCTTCATTTCCAAGAATCAATACAGGAAAGATATTAAACAAATGCAGCCATAAGTAATTAAAAAAAAAACCACATGCTTTGACAGGTATGTAAATGGACATCCTAAGTATTAGAATCTCCTGTGCATTTGCTCATGTCTATATATGTATGTGCGTGCGCGCACGTGTGTATAAATGTATAATATATATACATATACATATGTATGTGTGTATGTATGTAGACACAAGCACACACATTTATTTGAATTTTGAAGCATCTCTTTTGTCTAATCAGTTATCTGACTAATGAGTTGAATGGATGTTTTGATAGAAAGTTTTGATAGAAATTAATAAAATTCTTAATATAACTTCCAGGAAAACTTGATGATGAATATTTGAATGCTAAATAGATCTTTGGATAATCCAGCATCAGGACCTCACATATCCGCTCCCATTGGACCCCTATGCTTCGACCACAATGTTGTTAGGCGTGAAGAACATTTTATTTAACTAATTTTCACGTTGAAAATAAGCACTATCAGAAACTAAAACGATGGATAAAATGGTGCGATATAAATATATGTGATACTTAACCTCCACTGTGGCGCTTCCTGTCGTAAATAACATCTCAGCATCATGGCTTGAGCTTTCTTCTTATCTGAAATGATCCCGGATGCAGGAAATTGATTTGCTATACAGCATTAGCCATTAGGTGTAAAATGTGACAGACTACGAAAAATAAAATCAATAAAGCAGTCCTTATCCAAACTGTTCACCTTCAGGTGTCAGCTGGAGCAGACATCGATCTGGAACCTGGTATTTCTCAAACTCCGATGGGAAAACTCCTAACCACCGGATATCAGGCACGCACATCAACTTTGCATCATAAGCCATTTGCTAGACAATATAAAAAAGTGCTGCATCAGACAACTTGCCAACAGTAACAATGTTAAGATGAGGTAAAATTTAAATTCACTAATAGGTTGATAGCAAATAACTTCAACTTCCAGATATGCAAACTATACACTTCTCTTCATCTGTTTAACTAGAAACAAGGTCCTTCCTCAGAGTTGAAAACACCAATGTGAGAATACCTTTACCGACTGGAACCATTCAAATACCCAGTGGTGATAATATATCAAATCAAAGGAATAGCACCACTAAGAATAAATTGAAGGAATCAAAATTAGCTTCATAGAGAATAAGAAGAATGAGAAAACAAAGGTAAGTAAACTAATAGGCGCTCCCTTCCATTGCCCACTTAATACAATGTTCAAAAGGAGTGTGCTCTGGGAGGGAGTGGACTTGATTCGTTACCAACAGCCGTGAAAATGAAAGAAAAGACTTCTATACATCTTTCAATCTTTGCTCCATTTCTCTTTTCGCCCATTCCTCTTTATTCAAGAAGCATGACTTAATTAAGCCAGGGCAGAGGAAAGGGAAGGCTAGGGGTTTCCTGTCCCTCTACCTAGTGTTTAACAGCTCCATTTGGAAATAGAACAGTAGGTCAGGAGAATGCTATCTTCAACAGCAATACACTAAAACAAAAGGCTTGAGAATTAGGATACATGCCACTATCAGTAGAAAAGTGAAGTTTGAGAATTGCATCCTCACTTTACCAACGAGTTGAGCATGACCAACTACCAACCAACAAACAATAGTTTAGTATTTTACATCTTCTGTGGAGCTCCTATCTTCTGATTTAAAACAGATGATTCAATAACAGAAAGGCACCAAACAACATATGCATAGAAATAAAAACTTACCAAGGAACCAAATCTGTAAATAGTCAAGATATCAAAACCATATGGATCTGAATCTACCAAACAGAAGACAGGCAATTGCAGTTGATCTACCAGATGGCGCAAAAACCTGGTGAAATAGATGTAATAAGCATAATTAGACAAGTGTCAGAAAAAGTATTTCACAGTCCCTGCTAGAGAAAATTCAAATGACAGGAAAAGATCAGGCCACAGGGATATAACTTCTTGTAGGAACATCCGGATAACCCCGTCCCTGAAACAATGTCAAACAATCAAGCACTATTGATGACAAAGTAAATTTATGTGCCCATCAAGTGTTCTCACCGTAATGACTATGCAATGATTCTTGTCACAAAATTTATCATTTGCCAACCGCTGTAATACTGTAGAAATAAAGATTCACGCAATAAGCCATGACAATCCGGAATAAAGTATAATGCATATTACAGAACATCAATTTTACCAGTCTCCTTCTCTACAACAAGTATGTAGCGTGCCACACTCACAATACCTATAAAATAATTAAAGTAAATAATTATGCGTCTCCAATGTGCACTCTCTTAAAACGAACTTGAGATGATGGATCAAGAATTTACTATACTTGGTATAAACCTAGTTAAACAAAAATGCTGAAAGTGTTATGCATTCTTGGAATTGAAAAAAAAAGTCAAGATTTGAAGCCTGATGAAACTGGGAATCATGGATCACTTGAAACTGGACCAATCAGTTATGTGGCTGGTTGGTTGGCAAGAATTGTCATAGCACCATGACAACGTCACAGGCTAGAAGACTATTTGACAAATCCCAATATAATAAAACATCTTTCAATCTTGGGTCATTGAGTCCCAGTAGCCAAAAACTGATTCTTGCACTTTTAGTTGTTTTCCTGTGAAGACAACTAGGCTTGACTGGTCTTCCTAGTGCTGAAATGCACATTTGATTTGTAACGAATCAACTTGAGGCAGAGGGAGCAGAGACATTTGGTATAGCTATGACCTAGAGAATTGATTGATTAATGTAACACAAAATTCAGAAAGCATCTAAAGTAGTACCGCACATGACATATCATGATCATCAAAACCAAGAAAATATTTGTGCACTGGTCTCCAAATCATCGGCAAAGAATTCAGTTGATAAAGGCAGACAGGACCAAAATGAGCTCTACTTTTACTCATATGCCCAGCCAATTTTCAACAGTGTCTAGTGCAACATAAAAAAGATTACTTACTGAGAAAAAAGGCAAAGAAATACTGTCAGATTCAAGTAGTAGCAGCCAGAGACAACTGCTCCAATTAGGAAGGAGGTGAACTATTGAAAGCTTGGGAGTTTTCTACAAGCAGAGCTCTCCAAACATTGTAATATTGCACACTTCTAAGGAGTAAATGCTTGGGTAGCTGTACTCCCTAGTTAGTCTAGCTGGGTTAGAATATAGAAAAGGAGCTGGTTAACAGAAGTCAGTAAATGATGTATGAAATTTATTGACTTTTAAAAATTTCGTTTAAAAGCTGATGTTTATTATTCTCCACATGTTCATGTTGAAGATGACCAAGTACTACAACATTAGTAGCTACTCAGGATAATCCTCACATAAAAGAGAAATTAACTGATCCAGCATAAAATCCCTTGACCATCCAAATACCTTCAACATCTTCCACGGATACAGGAATAGGATAAGCCTGTGGTTTAAACCAGATAAACAAAAACATAGTCAACATATTTGGTTAATAAATATTCAAAGTAAATCAAAGCCTTACAGTGTTGGGATTCCTTATGCAATAAATTTCCCTGCCACCTTCTATGAACTTTAACCAACCCATCACCAACCTAAAACAACAAAAGTATCACATAGATGCAGATATGATCAAAGATATCTTCTTATTTTTCATAGTTCAAAAGGTGCCAAGATTTACCCTTTTCCTACAGGAACCTGCACAAGGGTAATGGAGATGGGATGAGTGTCAAATCCACCAAGTATAATTATGGACAATATAATATAATATCCATATTTTTCTGACAAGTTGAAGTAAATAACATTACACTGTACTTGATTAAAAGAATCTGGGTGCATCATTACTTTCGAGGTGGTACACTAATCATGAATGACATACCACATTCAAATTATGGCGGCTGCATTTGAGAAGGATGCATATGTCGTTGATTGCTCGATCAACAACTGCTTGCTCTGAAATGAAAGAGAAGTGCATAAGGAGGAGGTCAGTTAAGTACATTGACAGATCAACACCCATCCTCACCATACTAAGGTGGAACCATACCCCAAAGACATTTCCTTCTTGAGGAAAACATCATAACTCCTAAACGGAACGATGTTGAGAAAAGAGTGAATAACAAAGATGACAAGAATTACAAGTTGCTTGAGCTTGAGGCGGTTACCTCGAAAAAATGATGGTTTCATGTAGTATATGTCTCTCTTGGACCCATGCTTGTTTTCTTGTAGTAGGCGTTGTACAATTAGTAGCACGTTAAGCAGGACATCTGCAAAGTTGGAAGACATCTGATGTTACCCCGTAACAAATCTGGATGTGAAGTAAGCAGTCAGCAAAGAGCATATGCCACGGCAGCCAGGAATTAGCTTCCAACCTTGACGAAAGGACCCTTGCGTATAAAATCACATAAAAGATAACCTACCCAATCTATACGCATGGCTTTCCTTTTCGAGCAAGATGATTTCCTTACCGCAGGGAAGGCCAGAGCTGCAAATGCTGCAGCGAGGAAAGGGCAAGTGTGAGGGAAATCTTGACGACGCCTAGAGCGGCATTAAAATTCAAGAACCGCCTTAAGATGAAGGTGGAATTTAACCTAGCTAACTAGGAGGTGAAGGTGAAATTTAACCTCATTAGAATTCAAGAACCGCCTTAAGATGATCGCAAGCTAACCTAGCTAACTAGGAGCAAAGGCCTCCATAGTTAGGAAGCCAGTTTAAGCGGTGACGCCTTTTTGACAAGAATTTGTCGACATTCGTTCAATCAATAATAAGACTAACTTAGAAATATTAAGTATTTTTTTAAAAAAAAAATAAAAAGAAAAAGAAAAAGAAGAGAGAAGGGGTAGACGGTACCAAGATCCAGAAGGATCGGAGCAGTAGTTCCTGTAGCGATCGAGGGGAATGGAGAGAGAGCGGTTACTCGCAACATCCTCCACCACGCATCTCACGAATCCTACCAAGAACCAGTCATATTATTATTTGCTAAAAAAGAGAGTTAGGGTTAGGGTTTATAGCGCCTCAGTTCACCTTTGATTCTGCGAAGGATCGCGTCGGAAGGCCTCCAACTCCGTTCCGCCATCCCCCCCTTCTCTCTCTCTCTCTCTTCCCTCTTCTCTCAGGACAAGAGCGGAGGTGAGGACCGCTCGACTCGCCTGGCCCAGCCCAGTGCGCTGGCCTGGGCCTACATACGGGCTTTATGTTTTGGGGTCCAGCCAACAGCGAACGAGAGGCCAGGCCCCCCCGATTATTACGAGCAAGCAGCCCCCTCCCGGCCTTCCTCCCTCCTGCAAATTTATTTGTTTCCACAAATAATAAGATACAAAAAAATAAAAAATAAAAAAGTAAAATTTTTTCTGCCCCCCTCCTCCCTCCCCCGTCCCCTGAGATCGACATCAATGGGAAAGTAGTTTACACCGAAAATTCAAATTTATTGAGATTTTGTTCCCTTGTACAAAATGTTCCCTCCATATATATCTCTCGACACCAACCCCTCGTCAAGCGTGTACAAAGGACTCTCTTTAAGACGCTGCTAGCTGCTTACGGCTCACTGCTACTGCTACGGCTACTGCTACGGCTATCTGCGTACAGCCATTATCATTATTCATTCATTCTTCCCCACCTTCCCTAACTCCGTTAGGCTCGGCTACTCCCGATTTGCGACGCTGAATGGCGCCTGCTCTCCTAAATAATCTAGATCCTCCCTAAGTTCGCTCCCCGCCTCCTCCCTCGCGCGCGACGCTGAACTACCTGCTGATCCGCCTCCTCCTCAGCCAGCTGGGCCGCTGTCGACGCAGTGCTCCGTTCTTGATCGCTGATCCTGAGCAGGCTGGCCGCCCCCGGCGACGTAGGCCCAATGAGCTCCTCCCTGGCGAGGTCGCGGCCGCGTGCGTCGGACGGCGGCGGGGGAGAGAATGCGGAGGAGGAGCGAGAAGGCGGCGAGGAAGAAGCCGGTGGATGAGGAGGAGGGGCCGCAGAAGAAGTTGACGACGCTGGAGAAGCGCGGGGCCCACGCCTCATGAGAGCGGAAGGCCCGGCCGCAGGGCGGGCCGCGGCGGCGATGTGGGAACGCTCGCTCCCTCGCCCTAGCTCCCTTGCTAATAATCATGGCGTCGTCGCGTCGGCGTCGTCCCCCAGCAGTTCAGCACGCGACCGACCGAAGCCAGCGCAGCGAAAACGTGGAATGAAAAGGGCCCGGGTGGATCCGGGGCCGGAAAAAAACTTCAGCTGTTGCCAAACGAAGAGCTTAATATAATAATAAAGAGTCGCCTGTGAGAAACCCTTGGCTCCCTCCCTCTTGTTTTCTTCTGCTTCGGGCAGGTGAACGCCTCTGAGAGGGGGCAGCCGGGCAGGGCGAAGTGGGCGCGGGCCTGTCTTTCCCAACGTGTCCCTGTTCCTTCCGTTGGGAGACGAGGATACAACAGTCATTCCGCATATATTGTTATTACTTTCAGTGAGGGGGGAGAATTTTTGGGTAGGAATGCTTTTTAATTTGTTTTGGACACCTCGACTTGTCGGCCACTTTTTGAATACGGCATCTACCCCCTCCCTCTCTCTCTGCCTCTCTCTGCAAGCTGTTGCTGTTCATCGATCAGAAAGAAGAAAAAGAAAAGGATCTCTGGAGATCTCGATGTATTATGTATGTTACCGCTCGTGATTTTTCTGATCATCCCATCAATTTTTCTTTCTGTGACGTCCTCTTCTCTCTTTAAATTTCATAATTAGTATTATTGTTATTGTTCAACTTTCGGCTTCTTGTCTCGTTACTTGGTCTATAATTGAGCTCCCTCACAGTAGCTTAAGATTATTACTCTGTTTGAGTTCGACGTGGACCGAACCAGATGAATGCCTCTCCGTAACGACAGGTGGAGAGCTGGATGATCCCTTGATAATCGGATTGACCCCGCATCGGCAACTTCATCCTGTTTATTCAGAAACTAGCTAAGGGGCTGTTTGGATGTTAAAGGAGGCCCTGGGGGTATTTCTGACATCTTGTCAGCTTTCCATTCAAATCGTACCAAATTTTTTTAAATTGGGTGGAAAGCTGCAAATGTCAGTGAGTGGCTGCTGGGAACAGCACTGAAAAATTTCTGACATCTTGTCAGCTTTCAACTCTTTTCCCACTCAAAATATTTGAACCAAACAGCCACTAAAGTGAATGAAACGCAACAACCTCAAGAGGTTACCGATGGAATGAACCCCCTACAAATGAGGACTTGAACAAAGACTTTTGAAAAAAATGGACTTCAACTTAAATTTTTCTTTGATATATAATACTACAAGCCTACACGTCACTTCCTCACTCTTCTCTCTCTAAATTCTTTTTCTCACAGCCACTCTAACTCCACTAGGCTTCTTTAGCCTATCTCTCTAGCTTCTACAAACTCTTAACTCTACAAAGAGCCTACTCTTCAACCTACACTTTAGCCTTTTCTTAGCCTTACTCTTTGCTTCTCTTGTTTTCACTCCCTTGACTCAAAACCGAATGGCACAACCCCTTTTATAGGGTTCAATGTAAGTTTTTTTTTTTTTTTTTGCTCTAGAAATTTCCATAAAACTCCATGACAGCTTCTAATGCCAATTTTCAAAGTTTGCTAGATGGATAGAGAAGCTTCTAGGTTCTTGAAGAAGTCATTGCTGCATGATTTCTAACACCCCTCCTCAGCAGCGACTTTATTGTTTACCAATCCGAGTTGATTCTTAAGTTTAAAAAATGTTTCTGCCTTCAGTGGCTTGGTGAAGATGTCAGCAATTTGGTCTTCGGTCCTGCAATATGTCAGCATCACAGTCTTCCTTTTAACTTGATATCGGATAAAATGATATCCTGTCTCTATGTGTTTGCTTCGTCCATGTGTTACCGGATTTTTGGCAAGTGCAATAGCTGACTTGTTGTCGATGAGGATCTCTGTCAGTGTTTCCTGTTGGTGTTGCAGTTCCTCCATCAGACTCCTGAGCCATATTACTTGACACGCACATGCTGATGCTGCTATGTATTCTGCTTCGTAACTTGATAGAGCGACGACAGACTGCTTCTTTGATGATCATGAGAATGTTGCTGATCCGATATTGAACATGTAGCCAGATGTGCTATTTCTTTCATCTAAATCTCCACCATAATCGCTGTTGGTGTAGCCGACTAATCTCGAATCTGTACACTGTGTATAAAATAATCCTTGATCAATACTTCCTCGGACATACATGAGAATTCTCTTGGCTGCTTTGAAATGCTCTTACCTTGGCTCCTCCATATATCTGCTCACCAGTCCTACCGCGAATACTATGTCGGGCTTGGTGATTGTTAGGTAGCGCAAGCTCCCGACTAAACTCTTGTATAGAGTTGGATCAATATAGCTTTCTAGTGTGTCTCGCCTCAGCTTCACTCCGACTTCTGCAGGAGTTGTGACTGATTGCAGTTGCTCATGTTGAACTTCTGAAGGATATCCTTTGCATACTTCTTCTGAGAGATGAAGATTCTTTTCTCTGATTGCGACACTTCTACTCCAAGAAAGTATGACATTTCTCCAATGTCAGTCATCTCGAACTCCTTGATCATGTTCTTCTTAAACTCCTCGAACATTTTCGGATTGTTGCCGGTGAAGATCATGTCGTCCACGTAGAGACATACGATCATAATGTCTTCATCCTTCTTCTTGGTATAGAGAGAGTGCTCATATGGGTTCCGACGAAATCCGTTCTTCTGAAAATATGCATCGATTTTGGCATTCCACGCTCTGGGCGCTTGCTTCAGTCCATACAATGCCTTCTTCAGCTTGTAGACTTTGTCTTCTTGATTCTTCACCTCGTACCCTGGTGGTTGCTTGATGTAGACTTCTTCTTCTAAGTAGCCATTCAGGAATGCAGACTTCACGTCCATCTGGTAGATCTTCCACCGGTTCTGTGCTGCCAATGCGATAATGAGTCGGATGGTGTCGATCCTCGCGACTGGTGCGAACACTTCTTCATAGTCAACTCCTTCTCGCTGACTATAGCCTCTTGCAACAAGTCTGGCCTTGTACTTCTCGATTCCGCCATCTTGATTTGTCTTTGTCTTGTACACTCATTTTACTCCAATTGGTTTATGGCCTTCAGGTAAGGTAGTGAGCTCCCATGTGTCATTTCTCTTGATTGTCTCGATCTCGTCATCCATGGCTTTTCTACACTTGTCTTCTTGAGCAGCTTCTTCATAGCTGATCGGATCACATTCTGCAAACAAGCAGAATAATGTGTAGTCCTCCATCATCTCGACATGCTCTGTATCGTCGTACAGAACTCTTAGGCTTCTCATCCTCCTTGTTGCTCCCCCTGAAGAGCTTCCTTCACTTGAGCTGGATGGTGATGATGTCGGCGTTGATGTTGGGGTTGATAGAGCTGGACTATTAGGTGGACTTTGTTCTATTCTTCCAACCTCCTGCAAGTCATCATCATTATCTTCAAAGAACATACCTTTAATATTTTTATCTTCATCGGTCCATTTCCAATAATCTTCTTCATCAAATTCCATATCTCTTGAAATGATCATCTTCTTTGTAGTTGGATTGTAGAGCTTGTATGCGTTTGTCCTCCTCTCGTACCCAACGAATATGCACTTTTCTCCTCGATCATCCAGCTTCTTTCTTTTCTGCTCCGGGATGTGTGCATATGCGATGCACCCAAACACCTTTAGGTGGTTGACGCTTGGTTTGATGTTGCTCCACATCTCCAATGGTGTCTTGAACTTGACACTCTTCGTTGGACATCGGTTGAGAAGGTAAACTGCACAGTCTACGGCTTTAGCCCAGTAAGTCTTCGGCAGGTACTTGCTCTTCAACATGCTTCTGACCATATTAAGAATGGTACGATTCTTCCGCTCTGCTATTCCATTCTGCTGTGGTGTGTAGGCGACAGTGAGTTGATGAATTATCACGTACTGCTTGTTGAAATTGTTGAATGCCTTTGAAGTGTTCTCTCGGCCTCGATCTGATCGGAGCACCTTGATGTGGTACCCACTTTGCTTTTCTACCATCTCCTTGAATTCTTTGAATTTCTTCAGAGCTTCGGATTTCTCCTTCAGGAAATAAACCCATGTTTTTCTGCTATAATCATTAATAAATGTGAGAAAATACATGTTTTCTCCAAGAGAGACGACTTCAAATGGTCCTGCAATATTTGTGGACCAATTGTAGCAGCTCTGTTGCTCTTCTTGACTTTCCAACCTCGAAACTTCTTCTATGTTGCTTGCCCTTCATACAGCCTTCACATAGCTGGTTCGGATGGTTGATTTGCGG